CAGTGGAAATGTAAGCTAACACGGAGCTATAGGAAGAGAGGGAGAAGAGAGGCCAGGAACAGCGTCTAGCCTAAGGTGGGTTTTAAGCCGAGTCCTGAAGGAAGCCAGAGAAGCCTGGAGTCTGAGTACATTCAGGCACAAGAGACATCCACCCAAAAGACCTGGGTCAGGAGATGGAGGAACAGCAAGAAGGCCAGTGTGGCTGGATCACTGAGCAGACATTAAGGAATAAAGTATAAGAAGACTGGAGAGGTAGGAAGGGCCAGGCTATGAAACCTGAAAGCCAAATGCAGGTTCTGACACAGGATTCTATGATTCTAGTTTTGTTTTGTTTTAAAACTGTCCAAGATTTTTTTTTTAGAGGAAAATACCACAGAGTTTATTCTGGCACTTCATTTATATTCTTATATAAACTCCAGATTGTGCCAAGCTACAGAATTTCACCAGAAATTTCATACGATAGTATAAAATTAAGGAAACGTATTTCAATTTATATTAAACAGATCCTGAACCATATTTGGACTAGCAGAAGCAACTACTATGTAATATCCCAGGATTTCCTAGTCATTTAAAAAAGATGAGTACCTTCCCCTTCAATTCTGACATCTCCCCTGAAAGGCAGAAATCCGGGAAGTCCCCATTAACTCTGACCCCCTTCATCTGTTACATAACATCTTCCACTTTATACCATGCTTGCTGATCCTTTATCTCACTTGATCCTCAGAAGTCCATGAGGCAGCCAGAGGAGAAGACAACCTCGACCTACAAAAGAGGAAACTACAAGCACTGAGCTCACACAAGCTCTCCAGCCTAAGGTCACGTGAATACTAGTCTTGGTCCTACCTTAAGAACCTATCTCCTGCCTCATGCTACTAGGTTACATTAGTATTTGGTCATATAAAAATGCCAGAAAGGGAATCCAAGAAACAATTTTCCAGCTCTCCATCATATGATTCCTCGTTATATTCAAACTTTTAAAAATTCACAGAATCTCAAGGCTGGAAGACACTTCAGAGATCATCTCAATCTGCCGCTCCCATTTTACAGAACAGTAAAGAGTGCCTTAAGGGTCAACTTGCCTAAGGTCCTGCAGCCAGTAAGTGGAATAAATTTGGAACCCCAGTCAGAAAACTGTAAATCTAGACAAAGCTGATACCACCTTGCCAAAGCATTGGACAGACCAACCAAGACAGAAAACTGTTGACTGCATTATTCCACAAAGACTTTCTTGCCTTTAATTCTTGATTCCTGAAACCCAAGATTTCCTTGATGGAAGCTGACTGCATCACTCTTTAAAAGAAAGTTATGACAAGGTACAAACAAGTCTATCTAGACTTTTTTGGCTGGTATAACTTCCAGGAAAGTCACAAAAGTAATAACAAGGAACAGAAGCACAGAAAATGACATGGATTTAAGAAAAACACCTCTAAATAGCTTGGCATGATATTACTGCCTTAAGGATACTTACTATGACACATGCCTTAGACTTCACAAACTCATTAAAATTAGAACAAAAGGTACTTAAAATTAAGTCTGGGAATAACCAACTTCACCTTATTCTCATGCAAGCAGAAGGCTGATTGCTACCATTAGAGCTGTGGAAACCATTTTGCAACAAGGAAGCTTCAGTAACCACGTAGTGACTACATACTGGAGTATCTTCATATGCAGCTTTTGTATTAAGTGCAGAACCTAAAAATAGAGATGTTGCAGAAGACTCACAGAAACTGTACTGTGTAAAGGAGACATATGGGTTTTTCCACCTTGGCATTTAATAAAAAGTGCTGAAGACAAGTACAACAAAATCTTCATTTTCATCTTACATGTGAACAATGACAGTGCCTCTCTACCACCTAAGAGTCACCAACAAATATGTCATCCGGAAAATTAGTATATAATAGCTCAGTGCCATACACAGGAAGAAATATGCAGTTAAAAAAAAACGAGCTAGACAACTGTTGATTATTTGTATTACAAAAGGCTTCCAAGTAAGGTTCTTTTCTTTAAAAGTGGTTTTCTTCGTTCACATAGTTAATTAGATATCATTTATTGTAGTAAGAAAAGAAAAAAATTATCACATCAAATAAGAAATAGAGGGAACTTTAGAGATCATGCATAATAACAAGCCCTTTATTTTATAAATGAGAGAGCTGAGACTGACTTTTCCATAAATAAAGATATGAAAGTTTTAAAATTATAACATAAGGTAATACAAAAATATGAGAGCATTTACTAAAGTTTAATGTATGCACAATTTTTTGGGACCATACTCATTACTTATGGGGAATTTCATTTATAGTTACAAAGTGCGTTTACACGCAAATACATTTAGGATACATTCGTGTATATGTGCATATATACCCACACAATTAGTAGTATTAACTCTTGGAAAAAAATGTAGTAATGTTACATTTAACCATGTCATGAAAATGCAATGCAAACCTACCTTAAAGGACATATTATATGAAAAGATGGAAAAAAATTAGACTGAACACTGTGTAATTTTAGTGACCATGCTTAGGCCTGAAGAATGGATGAAAAATGTACCTCCTTCCCTTCCCTGCAGGGGAGGGGGACTATGGGCATGGAATATCGTGTGTATATATACTGTCAAGACTTAGCTGATATGCTAATTATTTTCAATGAGCTTTTTTCCCCCCCTTTATTCTTTGTTCTAAGGGGACAAGAGAAAGGTTCATTTGGAAATGAAGGTGGTGTAAAATCAAGACATTAATAAAAATTTTCTTAGAGAAAACCAGTCACACCACTCTGGGCAATGGATAATACAATAAATGAAAAAAACTGTGGCTAATGCAAATGACACCAAAAATAAAGATTCGAAGAAAATATCAGCTGTGTCACTAGACATTTTGACTCGGGCTGTACTCTGCTTTACTATGTAACAAAATCATTTCAACATGTCCCTGTTAATAAAGATGGACAGCTTTTTCAAAGACAGACAGCAACAGCAGGAAGTAACTCTGAAATGATTTCATAATTTCTACAAAAATTGCAAATTTTAGAATTAAATTTTAGTGCTTCCTCTAGCTAATATTTCCATCACCATATGGCACAAAGGTTTCATTCCAAGAACTATGGTCTAGGGTCAGAGGTGTCAAACACAGAAGAGTGACTCCCAAACCAGTTTAAAATATAATTGGTAAATATTTAACAAAATAAATAAAAGTATACTAAAACATAGATTAACAACATATTTTAAAACAAAGGGACTGGCAAAGATCCTTATGTACGGATTAGTGGCCCTCTCTTTCTCTTTGAGTTTGACACCACTGGTCTAAATCACGACATTGAAATTAAATGGTATGCATACATTAGAAAACAAAGAAACTGAACGAGGCAGATAATACCCAAAACTCCAAGTTGCTAAGGGTTCGAAATAATGCCCCTCCCATAGACCAAATTGCTTAGTAATAGAACTGCCTTTCCTTTAGAATCTGGAAGGGACAGAAAAATATGGAAAACCAATTGTTTAACGTTAGCTCAGGGGTTCCAAATCTGCTGCCTCATTCCTTAGGAGCCTAGCTACACCAAGCTTCCCATGAAATAAGCTGCTTCTACTTAAATAATCATAAGCACACTGGGAAACCCAATATGACATGAAAGCCACCGAACAGGTGGAAACTACCGTACTCGATATACTAAGAATGCATACCTACTGCTAACCTCAACAATAATGATTGGTGGAGCCCAGCCCCCAAACCTAAGCCACAGATATAAGGAAGAAATTAAAACTAAATTCTTGAAACAAATTCTGGATAGAAAATAAATCCAAGATTACGAGCCCTTTTCAGCAAACGGGTTGTTTTCCAAGGCTCAGTCCCCTTTAAGAACCGTCACCTGCCCATTGGCCTTTTTTTCCTCTGAGAAGGCATCTGCACTGCAGATCTCCGCAAGAGGGGCGCTTGCCAGCCAGCTCCCACCAACCAGCAGACCGTACACAATGGAACGACAGCGGTGGGCTCGGCAGCTCCCCCCTCCGCGCCGTTCCCAGAGGGAGGACGAGGGGCTCGGGACCGCTCCCGCTTTGTTTCATTTGTCCATGCTGGCCCTGGTCACCTTCCCTCCCAGGACTCTGACGCTCACGAACAGCTAAATGCAAAGCGGCCCCCCACCCGGTCCCTTCTCCCCAAAACGGGGGCGTGCGTGCGTGGGAACGCCTAGGGAGCGACAGGCGCCCCGTGCCTTCGAGGGGAGGCTGCGGATGGACCAGGGGGCAGAGTCCTCGCTCTAGGAGCAGTCACGAAGCCGGGCCCCAAAGGGACAAGAGCGACCCTGCCCCGGTCGGCGTCCCCCCTGCGCCACCGAAACGCACAGACGGGGCTGCCCCCCGCCCCGATGCCACTCGGCAACCTGAAGGCCAGCCCTCCCCCACCACCCTCGCCGTTTCCCAGGGTCCCCAGCGCACAGTAGGCGCTGAACCAGAGCTAGCAGACGGACCTCCTAGCCCCGGCTGGGCGTGGACCCCTCCTCGTCCATTCTCTAGCTCACCTGTGCCCCTCATCCCGGAGACCTGGAACCGAGGCAAAGGAGGGCTGGGGCTTTTCCAAGCTCTGCCCACCCTCGGGGACGGCTGCCCAGCCCCCACGGCAGGGCCACCCTCCCCGCCCTTGCTCTTCGGCGTGACGCCCCCACCCCAGTGCCTTCCGCCCTCAGCACCCACGCTGCGCTACGGGGAAGGGGGCGCTTACAGTGGGGGCGGAGTGTCGGCCCCCCCTCCACGTTTTCTCCCTCCTGTCTTCCCCTCCCCCTGCCCGTGTTTTCCCACGGCCCCACCCCAGGGCCCCGGCTCCACCCCTACCCCCCCACGCTCGAGGCAGAGTCACCGGCTCGGCTGGGGGTTACCACCTGCGGCTCCCTCCCCGAGACCCGGCCAGGGTCACCCCCAGCCCCGGGGCCCGACCTCGCCCCCTCCCCCCCGCCCCCCCCGCAGGGACGCCCCTCCCCCTCCGCCGCTTCTCGCCTCCCCTCCCCCTCCTCACCCGCACAGGACGAGACGCAGCTCTTGCCCCCCAGGCCTGGGCAGGTCCCGGGGCTTCCCCCGCCGCCCGCCGCGGCCCCGGCGGCATCAGCCCCGGACGACGACGACGAGATAGACGGGGACTGGGTGGCCGCCGACGGCTCCGCCATGGCCTCGCCAACGGGAGGCGGGAAGGGCAGAGGCGAGGCGAGAAGACGAGGACTGGGACGACCGCGAGGCGAGCAGAGGCTCCGGCTCCGAGGGCGGACGGCGAGCGACTGAGCCACCGACTGACTGACTGACTGACTGACTGACGGGCGGCCGGGCTCAGGAGGAGAGGGGGAGGGGCGCAGAGCTCGGGCGCGCGCCGAAGAGGATGCGCAGGCGCACTGCGGCCCCGAGCCCGGCGGGAGGCAGTGGGCGGTGGCCGCGCCGAGCCCGCAGCGGAGCCAGTGCGCAGGCGCGGGAACCCCTCCCGTCTCTCTCCCCCCCGCGCGTTCGCGCGCTACCGCAGCCCCCCCCACCCTCCCGCGGAGCGAGCGAGGAGCTAGAGGCGGTGCCTGCTCTGGAGCCCCGCCCCCAGGCGCAGTCCCGACTCTTGGGAGCACGTGGCTGGAGGAGCGTCCACGCCGCGTCCGTCTGTCCGGCTGAATCACCGTGCATGCATTTGATGGATATCCAGCGGTTACTTCTCGGGGAGCGTGTCCTGTGCGGGCACCCCACCCCAAGAACGCCTCGCGGGTGCAGGCCGTGCTCGGCCTGCTGACCCTGCTGCTGGTCACTGCTGCTTCTGGCAGCCTGCCATTCCCCCCTCCTCACCTGCCCCCCAAGCAATTCCCTCCCTGGGTTGGGCGGGGAGCAACAGGCTGTCCATTAGTGTGATGCGCTAGATTGAGTAATTGACATTCTCACCTGCTAAAGGTACCGGGGCCAGGGGATTATTAAGGCTGCTTTGAGGGGTGGCGGGTTCATTGACTCAGGGGACCCCCCCCCTTACGTATGTGAAGTGCTTTGCAAACCTTGGAGGCCGAGCTGAGTGTTGGCTGTTAGTGTCATCATCGAGGGCCTTGGTCTGGACATGAAAGGACAACATGAAAAACTTGTAAGTTGCAGGAGTGAGACCCAGACCATGAATCCATCTCAACCCAGGCCTTTTCCTGCTCTTCTTCCCCAAGCAAGAAGAGAATCTATTGCTAGGAATAAAGCCGGAGGAGCCAGATTTGGGGCTGAAAGGGAGCTCAGGCGGTCAGCAGAGAAAATGGAAAGCGGCTTTCCCAATTCACACAGGGTACTGATGAGGACACCTTGAATGGAATGCTCTGGAGGAATGGGGTCAGTTACTCTGAAGAGACGGACCCAGCAGAGCAGCTGCCGACTGGCAGCTGGTGTAGGGTATGATAGAGGGTGAGGCAGATGGTCACAAACAAAAAGAATGGTCACAGACTGTATACAATGGATTTTAGGGACATGCCAAAGGGAGCCTTGCCTAGGAAACATTTCGGCAGGCTAGCAGAGGGGTCCCAAAGTGGAATGGGTTGTGTATGTGTGTGTATGTTTTGGGGGATGTGAGAGAGATGTCCCTTCGCTAGAAGCGTTTGAGCGAAATCTGGTTGACTACTTGTCCTTATTTTTTGCCTTTTTTTTTTTTGGTGAGGTGATGGGGTTAAGTGACTTGCCCAGGGCCACACAGCTAGTAAGTGTCATGTGTCTGAGAATGGATTTGAACTCAGGTCCTCCTGACTTCGAGGCCAGAGCTTTATGCACTGTCCATATATTTTGGTTCAGGTAGAACTAGGAAGGGGTCCCTGCCATCTCTTTGAGCTCTGATGTCTTATGATTCATCCCTCTATCAAATACTGTCTTTGGGGCTGGCACGCCTGCTCATGGGTCCATGTGTCCCAGCCTAGGGTCTGGCCTCAGACCCATAGGGTTCAAATGTTCAGAAAATCACAGTTTCCTTTAACAGGCAGCCCCTGCCTACCCTGGGGTCCTGAAACATCAGCTGGTGAAATTTGTTTCTGCTGAGATTGATCAGTAACAGCATTGCAGTCATAGCCGCAGCCACAGACTGGCTGCCAGCTCGGGGAGGAGGGTGAGCTAATCAGCCAGGCGCAGGGGGGAAGAGAGATTAGACCAATAGAAGGAGCCTTCGGGAGCTGGCTGCCCTTGACAGCAGCATCTGAGGTCAAAGAAAACCAGACAAGGGAAGGCGGCGGTGGCTGCAGCAAAGGGAGGAACAAAAGAGAGCGCTTGGGCCAGGCCTGCAGGGAGCATCTTCCCCAGGGAGCAGAAGCCATGTTGAGACAGCTACAGCCCTTGAAATGACCCAGGGCAGCGCCGGCTTCGCTGGCCATTGTGCGCAAGGCCTGATGTCATCCATTCAAATAAATGCGTAACTTGTAACTTGTAGCAGCCTGACAGGGGGGGCGGGAGAAAGAAAGACAATTCTGGCAGCTCGGACAATGAGCGGCAGGCAGCTGGAACCTGACTTCCAGGGCCAGCCAGCACGCTCAAGGCGGGCAGAAAGGGCTGACTTCCAGGCTGTTGGAACACTGGACTTGGGTTTAGACCCACCTAGGAAGCCTAACCAGTCATGTAACTCTGGGCAAGTCATTAGGCTTTCTGAGCATCAGTTTTCCCCATCTGTAAAATGGGGATAATAGCACCTGTGTGTACACCTCACAGCATTTTTGAGACGCTCTAGTTCAGCAATAAATGTCAAGGACGTGGTAAACCTTAAAGCTCTCTAGACAGATCGGTTATTGCTGCTATTATTCTTGTATACCCTAGGGTCACAAGTAAGGGGCCAAGAAACTAACTTTTTAAAAATATTTTTAATGGATTTTTATTTATTTCATTAACTATTTCCCTTTTATATTCTTAACATAAATTCTTTAAAGCTTTGAGTTCCAAATTCTTTTTTTCTCTTGCTCTTCCCCCACCCCTTGAGAAGGCAAACAATATGATAGCAATTATACATACAACACATATTTCCACGTTAGCCATGTTGCGAAAGAAAACACACACACACACACACACACACACACACACACACACACAAAACCAAAAAAGGAAAGAAAGTGAAACTATGCTTTAATCTGTACTTAGAGTTCATCAGTTCTGTCTCTGGAGGTGGACAGCACTTTTCATCATGGGTCTTGGATTATCTTGGATCATCATAGCAAAATTGCTGTGACTGTGTAAGATGATTTGGTTCTGCTCACTTCATGTTGCATCAGTTCATAAAAGTCTTCCTAGGGTTTTTCTGAAACCACCCCTTTCGTCGTTTCATGTAACACATTAGTACTCCGATCACAATCATATCACAACTTGTTCAACCGTTTGCCAGTTGATGGGCATTCCCTTAATTTCCAGTCCTTTGCCACCACAAAAAGAGTTGCTGTAAATATTTTTGTACATAGAGATCCTTTTCTTTTTTCTCTGATCTCTTTGGGATACAGACCTAATAGTGGTATTGCTGGGTCAAAGGGTATATGTCGTTTGATAGCCCTTTGGCCTTGCTTCCAGGTTGTTCTCCAGAAAGGTTAGACCAGTTCACCACTCCACCAGTAGTTAATTGATGTACTTATTTTCCCTCATCCAACGTTTGTCATTTCTTAATGGTATGAGCTGGGTACCTCAGAATTGTTTTAATTTGCATTTCTCTAATCAAAAGGAATTTAGAATATTTTATATGACTATTGATAGCTTTGATTTCTCCTTCTGAAAGCTGCCTGTTCATATTCTTTGACTTTATCAATTGGGGAATGGCTCTTATTTTTATAAATTTGACTTAGTTCCTTATATATTTGACTAATGAGGCCTTTATTAGAGAAACTTGCTGTAAAAATTTTTCCCCCAGTTTCCTGCATTGCTCCTAATTTTGGCTTCATTAATTTTGTTGTGCAAAAAGTTTTTAACGTCGTGTAATCAAAGTTATCCACCTTACTTCCCACTTTCCTTTCTATCTCTGGTTTGTTCATAAACTCTTCCCTTATCTATAGCTCTGACAGGTAACTTTTTCCATACTCCCCTAATTATGAAATCATCCTTCATGTTGAAATCATTTATCCACTTTGATCTTATTTTGGCATGTGGCCTGAGATGTTAGTCTATGCCTAGTTTTAGCCAAACTGCTTTCCAGCTTTCCCAGTAATTTTTTCAAGCAGTGAGATCTTGCCCCAAGAACTTGGTTCTTCTTTGGATTTATCAAACACTGGATTACTATAGTTATTTACTACTATATGACACGTGGATCTGTTATATGCTACTATATAATGTGAATCTGTTCCACTAATCCACCACTGTATTTTTAGCCAGTACCAGATAGTTTTCATTATTATACTTTGTAATATAGTTTGAGATCTGGTATTGCTAGGTAGTGAAATGCTAACTTTTTAAAGGATTAAAGACAAATAAGTTGTCTGTGATCTTTATGGACCACCAGGGAATTTCCTTTTTTTTTTTTTGTTCTTTTAACTAATATGTATTAAAGCCCCTCACGTGTGATGAAGGGCTGCCCTAAAGGCTATGAGAATGCTCAGGAAGCAGAATATGGTTACTGTCCTCACAGCAATAAAAGAATAAAAAGAGAGTTGATTAGGAGAGTTCTTCCGTCCCTTCCCTGCCCCCCACCCCAAATACACACATGAATTTAATGAGCATGTCCTTTCCCTATGGAAAATGTTCAGTCAAGTCCAAATAGAAGTTCCAGGAGGAATTGGTCAATTGTAGGGGAGTGCTGGCAGGACAGGAGGGAACTTCCCAGAGTGGGGGCAAAGGCTTCTGGGGACTGGTGGAGCCAAGAGAGGAGTGGTCAGGGAACAAGGACAACTCCAGATTGGTTTTCAATGGTGGGTGCTGCCCCTAAGATGACTGGGTGGCTGGGACTCTTGGGAGTTGAGTCAGCCAGTATTTGTTGTTCACTCAGTGTGAGGCACTGTGCAGAGTACACTGAGGATACAAAAAATAGCAAAAAGAAAGACAATCCCTGCCCTCGGGGAGCTTCCATTGCAGTGGGAGAAGACACATACAAGGCATGTGAAGAGCTCGGAGTGGGTGGGGAAGCATGGTGGCTAAGTGCAAAGGATGGCCTTTCTGAGTTCTTCCTCAAGATGGAAGTTCTGAGGGGCAGCTAGGTGGCAGCCCTGGAGTCAGGAGGACCTGAGTTCAAATCCGGCCTCAGACATATAACACTCACTAGCTGTGTGACTCTGGGCAGTTCACTTAACCCCACTGCCTAGCCAAAAAAAGAAAAAAGGAACTTATGAGAACTCACCAATGGGAGAAGGGCACCTCTTCTGGACGGAGCCATCATTCTGCACTAATCATCTGAGCTTAGGGCCCAGATGGGGCAGCCTTTCCTCGCTACAGTCTCTTCCCACTTACCCCTGTAATGACTGGCTTGGACCCAAGGCATCTGGGAGTTACATCCAATTTCCTATGGCTCTCTTATAAGAGTAGGCATTCTGTGTGTGTGTGTGTGTGTGTGTGTGTGTGTGTGTGTGTGTGTGGCAGTTGGGTTTCAGTGACTTGCCCAGAGTCACACAGCTAGCGAGTGTTATGTGTCTGAGGCCGGATTTGAACTCAGGTCCTTGTGACTCCAGGACCGGTACTCTATCCACTGTGCTACCTTGCTGCCCCTAAGAGTGGGCATTCTCTACCCAAGAGATGGCAGCGTGGGGGGGGGGCAGTGGTGGAGGATGGAGTTTTTGTAGAACATTGTAGAAATTGAGATGAATTTGCCCATGTGTCCCAAGAGGGGAGTTCACGAACAATCTCCCTTCTAAGTATAGGAGGAAGTA